GGCGTCGGCTGAAGAGGCCCATCTCGCCTCCCCAAGTTTTGCTCGTAGCGGCTCGCGAACAAAAAACGTTGTCAGGGCGCTCGGTGGCTTGCAGGGCGGCCCCCGAACACAGCTCGGTGCGGGTCAGCCACCTCTCGGCCACGGCTGCCTAACTTTTCAACCCGCCCGTCAGGCTTGGCGAGCGGAGCGGCGAGGCATCTGCTCTGCTGCAGCGTTGTCAGGACGTTGTGGCCCACAGCCCCCCTGGCCTGGCGATTTTTTCCTGGGGGGCCCGGGTTTGCCCCTCGACGCGGTCTCCCAGGCGCGAGCTGTGGCCGAGCAGGGTGCCCGCAATGAAGATCATAAGAAATGGGTTCTTTGGTTGAGAACGAATATTGAGTCAGGAGCTCGTCGCGCCCATTGGCGTGGTCAGGGGGGCCCAGCCTGGGCCCCGTCCGCGACTCTTAGCGCCAGCGGGGGGAGATTGTTTCTGACCCCCGGGCCCTCCTCGCCTCTGAATGCGCCGCGTTTCCGGGTCTCTGGCGCGCCGAGGATTTTCTGACCCATCCGTCGGCGGCCGGCAGGTTCGCAGTTCTCGGCCCGCTGCCCGAGCTCACCCCCGACGACCTCCGCCGCGTGTCCCGATCGTTCCCCAGGCGCGCTGCGGCATCGGTCGACGGTTCCCATGTCGGCAATTTCCAGCACGTGTCGGATCAGGCCCTCATCGTTCTCACATGGGTGATCGCCGCGTTCGGGAAGTCTGGTCTCCTGCCGATGCAGATGCGGGTGCTGTTGCCGATCGTGCTTGCTATGCCCGACGGCGGTCGCCGCCCCATCGGGCTTTGCGTTTCAGCGCATCGTCTCTGGGCGCGGGCCCGTCCGTCGTGATCATGCCTGAAGGTGGGGGGCGGCTAGAGCGTGATTACTCTGCGGCTGGCTCCTTCGCCTCTCGCGTGGGCGCGGTCTGGCGGCAGAGCGTGAGACGCGAGAAGGCTGTCTCATCCGATTTGTGTTCAAGCTCGGTTCGTGGGGTCCCCTGAAGTCTTACGGGTCGGTTGATTTAGATGCGTTGCTCCAGCGATGCCGCCCGCGCGGGGTCCCCGTGCAGATTGCTCGGGTCTGTGGCGTGGCCTACCGCGCCTGCCGCTACGTCGCCGTGCGCAGCAGGGTCGTGGGGCCCAAGTTTGCATTGCGCGGCGTCGTGGCACACTGCGGCTTCGCCACGACTTTCTTTCGCGTCTTTCGCTTAGCTGCCCTGGACGGGCTCAGTCTGCCAATGCCGGTCTCTTGGAGGATCTACATTGACGATTGCACTCTGTCCTGCCAGGGGGCTGCGACTGTAGTCGGTAATGGCCCTGGAGGGGGCCATTGAGCTTCAGACTGTCATCGAGGGCGATCTTGGCTGCGCGATCGCTATCAAGAAGGCGGCTGTAGTCGCCTCAGTTTCCTCTATTGCCAAGGCGGTCCGCCAAGGTCTCGGCTCCGTGGGCGGAGCGCCGTGCGTCGCGGCTGTCAACCTGAGCATCGACGATGCTGCTGGCAGGCCCCGTCGTGTCGCCCGTCGAGGAGTGGGGATCAAGGTTCGTTGTGTCCAGTTTTCTGGGAAGACTGAGCGTGTGTCCCGTCGCAAGGGGAACCTTGGACATCGCTCGCGTCGGGTCTTCGCGACGGGGCCCCTCGCCGGCCGCACCTGCGGGTGCGAGGTACACGGTGCTTCAGGCCACGAGCTGTGTGCGCTCAGACGTGCCATGGGCCGTTTTCTTCAGCCGTCTGCTGGCGGGGGATCGCTCGCGGCAGTTTTGCCGTTTGCCGCCGATCCCGCCTGGTGCGCCGCGGTCGCCCCGATTTTGGGGTGGTCTCAAGAGATTTGGGCCACCCTGGTGGGGGCCTATCAGTCTGGCCTGTCTGTCTCTGGCTGAGCTGCGCAGTGCCTGGGCTGCGGGTTTCTCGGGGGCCCTGCTTCCCTGGCGCAAGACTCGGAGGCCCGCGGGGGCCCCCGGGCTCTCGGTGGAGCGTCTTGGGTGGGAGGTGGTGAGCTTCAGCATTCTCGTTGATGACTTGGGTGAAGAGGTCTCTCTCGCGCTGGTCTCCCCCTGCCTCCTCAAACGCCTCCTCCGGTCGGCTGTGTTTCGTAATCTGGAGAGGGGCTACGGTCCCCCGGCCTTGATTGCAGACTCTGCTTTGATGTGGCCCTTGCGGCCATGAGTTCTTCTAAGTTTACCCCCTTCGAGAAGGGGGCGTCCGCGGCCTCGTCTGCCAGGCGCCCCGGGCCAAGGCCCGCGCCGAGGCCCGCGGGTGCATCCTGCCCGACCTGCTCTGCCCCTTGCGCGGCCTGGCGCAGGACGCAATGTTTCACAGACTTTGGCGCTGCCGACCCGAGTCTGCGAGCCAGCTTCGCGATCGGGCACTCGGAAATGACTTCCAGCACAGGCCAGGTGATTTCATGCGCTGTCGGAGGCCGACAAGGTCTTGCACGCGTTGGGGTTGTTCTCCCACCCTGGCGATCTCTTCCCGCCCGCGTCTGAGCGTGAGCCGCCTTCCAAACATTTTGATTATCCGGAGAAAGACAATTATCGCGTCTCTGGTAATCTATTCATGGGCGGGTCGTTTATAAGATCGGTCGTCAAAGAACTGTCGAGGGCGGGGTGGAGCTATGTCTCGGTGCCCGACTCCGGGCAGGAGCTAGGACATGTCTACGCCCCCCCCCCCCCCCCCCCCCCCCTACCCGATCCCCCAAACGGCCCAAGCTGGGGAGTTTGCTGCCTGCGCTGCTGCCTGCCAGGATGCTGATTCCCCTGCCCAAGGGTATAGTGTTTCTTTGTGGGCTCTCCCTAGACACGGGCATTTATCGTTCAAGCGCGTGCGCTCGGGAATGTTTGTGTGGGCCACAGTCAAATGGGGCCCATCCACAGAGTGAAAGGCCACCTGGCCGAGGAATGTGTAGGTGATGACGAACAGCTCAGATTCTGTAAGGCTGGAAATGATCCGGCTGACCACTATGCTAAGTTCGGAGCGTTGGCGCGCGAGAAGCCGACCACCGATCAGTCTGAATGGCTCGACGAATGTTTGGCCATTGTGCGGAACGTGTTTGTTCTGGCAGCCCGCGCGCTGCCTATCTGGCCTGCGTGCGACATGTCTGAAGCCGCCCGTGCTCCCGTCGTGCCGCCGCCTGAGCCAATAAGAGTTCCCCACCTCTGGAGGCATATCGGTAAATTTTGGCAGTGCAGCCATTGCCTCACTGTTTGCCGCGGGGTCTGTCTCCGCAATAGTTCGAGTTGTTCAGGAAAACGCAAGCTCCATATAGACTTCCTTGATCATCTCAGGCACAAGTGTCTGGGACCGGCTTGCTTGGATGGCGGCATCGTTTGTGTCTGCGTTCGGCGCAAGGCGTTTTCCACAGGCAATTCTGTCCCCTACCTGGCCAAAGAGTGCCCAGGTAGACCTCGCAACCTCAGGAGCTCAAAACATTATTGGGACCGCATCTGCGCTGGCTTGCGGCAAGCACCCCAAGTCATCGGATGTCTGGCTTGCCGTGGATGCTAACAGCGTGATGCGCCTCTTTAATGTTTCTTGATGCCGTCTTTCGGCCCGGCCTCTCGGTCTCGTGCTGCGGGGGCGTGGCCCTGATTGACGGCGCGTTTGTATGTATGCACGCCTGCGCCAGCGTCCAAGTGCCGCGCTCGACGGCCGCCTGACTCCCAGAGGTCAGGCCTACTGCGGGATGCCGTGGGGGAGCAGCGCAGCGGTACAAAAATCCTCGGGTCACCTACGGCCCCGGGGGCAACCGTGCAGACGGGACTGGCCTGTGCCGGCGTGATTTGTAATGAGCGGCCACGTATGGCCAGTAATTACAGGTACATGCAGTGTCGTGTAGGGTCGACGCGGCGGCGACCCCGCCAAGGGCGTTCAAGGTTTAGCACTGCCAGCGGCTCCGAAGCCACCAATATCGGACGATCTGCGCTGTCGGAAGGCGCCACGCGTTCAAGATCGAAAGATTCACGCGGTGTCAGGAGCCGGCGGCGGGGGTCGTCACGGCATTAACGTGCCGCAGATGCAGGGCCAGTGACAAGTCTCCTCCCCCTCATGGAGGGCGCACCGCTCTCCATGCGTGCGAGAGTCCCGTTGGTGCCACGAGCCGCCCTGCACCCGTGCAGTTTTTTTCGGCACGCCGAGCCTCAAGAACACATCACCCGTGAGGACGGCTCAAACCAGCGGCGCGCCCAGCCTCCTCCTCCTCCTCCTCTCCTCCTCCTCCTCCTCCTCCTCCTCCTCCTCCTCCTCCTCCTCCTCCTCCTCCTCCTCCTCCTCCCCTCCTCCTCCTCCTCCTCCTCCTCCTCCTCCTCCACTCCTCTCCTCCTCCTGCTTCTCTGAGCCACGAGGCCTCCTCTTTTTTCTCCTCCTCATCTTTCTTCTTCCCCCTGCAACCCGAAAGTCGGCTGGTGCGACGGAGAGGAGTTGTCCAAGCGGAATTGGGCGGGGAAGGCGAAACACGGCGTGGGGGGTGGGCGGCAGCGGCCGAGGGGAGCGAGGGACGAGGTGTGTGTGTGTGTGGGGGGGGGGCGAGAGGACAAGAGGGGGGGGGCAGTGGAAGAACGAGAGGACGGATGAGGCAAAGGACAGTGAGGATGATGCTGATATGGAGGGAGGTGGGGGAGAGGGATGGGGGAGGAGGGAGGATGGATGGATGGATGGATGGATGAATGGGTGACTTGATGACGACGATGATGTTTGGTGCTGGGTGATGGTGGTTGATGGCCAATGCTGGTGGTGATGGCGGTGTTGATGATGGTGGTGATGATCGTGAAGATGGTACGGAGGAGGAGGAGGAGGAGGAGGAGGAGGAGCAGGGGGAGGGGGAGGAGGAGGAGCAGGGGGGAGGGGGGAGGAGGAGGGAGGAGGAGGAGGAGGAGGAGGAGGAAGGAGGAGAGGAGGAGGGAGGAGGAGGGAGGAGGAGGAGGGGGGTCAGGATCAGGAGCAGGCTCGTGGAAGGAGGGCAGGAGGCGCGCCGGCGTCGCCTCGAGGAGGGGCTTCAACCGAAACTGGTACGAGAACAAGTCCGTCATGGGGACCCCCCGCTGATTGGCCTTTTTTCCACCACCACCACCATAAGTTGGAGGGGGGAAGGAGGTGGAGGAGGAGGAGGAGGAGGAAGAGGAGGAGGAGGAGGAGGAGGCGGAGGAGGAGGACGGAATGAGGAGGACAAGAGGAGTAGAGAGAGTGAGGAGAGAGTTGAGGAGGAGGAGGAGGAGGAATAGATGAGGGAGGAGGAGGAGGAGGAGGAGGAGGAGGATTCCCTCCCCTCTCCTGCTTCTGGTGGTGGTGGTGGTGGAAAACAGGCCCAACACCCGCGACCCCTTGCAGGGAGGCGCACGCCGGGAGGCAGTAGGAAGGCTGCCGCGCGGGAGCTGGTGGACGAGGCTCGGAGGGCGGCCTCCTCCTCCCCTCCTCCCCCTCCTCCTCCTCCCTCCCCCTCCTCCCCCTCCTCCTCCTCCTCCCCTCCTCCCCCTCCCCCTCCTCCTCTCCCCTCCTCCCCTCCTCCCCCTCCTCCTCCCTCCCCTCCCTCCCTACCCCTCCTTCCTCCCCCTCCTCCTCCTCCCCCTCCTCCTCCTCCTCCTCCTCCTCCTCCTCCTCCTCTCCTCCTCCTCCTCCTCCTCCTCCCCCTCCTCCTCCTCCCCCTCCTTCTTCTTCCCTCCTCCTCTCCTCCCCGCCCCCTCGCGCTCCTCTCCCCTCGTCCCTCCTCACCGTCTCTCCATCCAGATTCTCTCCGTCTGTCTCTTTCTCTCTCCCCTCCATCTCCTCTCTCTCTCTTTCTCTCTTCCCTATCTCTTTCTCTCTTCCTTCTCTCTCTCTCTCTCTATCTCGGTGTCTCTCTCTCTCTCTCTCCCTCTCTCTTTCCCCAATCTTTCTCTCTCTCTCTCTCCCTTTTTTTGTTCTCTCTCTCTCTCTTATCCCCTCTCTCACTTTCGCACTCTCTGTCTCTCTCTCTCTCTCTTTGTATCTCTCTCTATATATACACTTATGTTGGAGGTATTGGGGGTTAGACCGAATTGCAACGGAGTCGCCCAACCGGGAGCTTTGTTTCGCGGCGTGCCCGGGATTATCCCGCGGTTGTCCCGTGGTTGTCCCCATGGTTTGCTGGGGTGTGCCTGTCTCGCGGGTTGTCCTGTGGTTGTCTCGCGGTTGCATTGTGGTTGTCCCGTGGTCGTCCCGTTGTAGTCCCGTGGCTTTCCGGTGGTCGTCCGTGGTTGTCCCGTGGTTGTCCCCATGGTTGCTTGGGCGTGCCCGTCTCGCTGTTGTCCGGTGGTTGTCGCGTGGTTGCCCCGTGATTGCCTCGTGGTTGCCCCGTCTGTAGACAGCCAGTGAGACTGATAGAGGAATAGGTCGATCGCTAGACACATTGACGGTGACATCGGTAGATAGACAGAAGATGGTGATGACGGTTGATATTTCGATAATCAGTGACATCGGAGTGCCGAAAATAACGCTGATTGATAGTGAAATCGGTTTTCGAATATTGTGTTGCGGTTGTCCCGTGTTAGTCTCGTGATTTACCCGTGTTTTTTCATGTGGTTTTCCTACGCTTGTTCTGCGGTTGTCCCATGGTTGTTCTGTGGTTGTCCCGGAGTTGTCCCGTGCGTTTCCTGTGGTTGTCCGTGGTTGTCCAGTGGTTGTCCCGTGAGTCCCGTGGTTGTTCCGTGGTTGTCTTGCGGTTGCTCATGATTGTCCCGTGGTTGTCCCACCTACAGATCGATCGTGATTTCAATCGATGGAACATTGTATATCAAAGGTTCCCATGGCGAATCACCGCCGCCTCCTGCCTTTTCGGAAACGCACATGCGGCCAAACATCGGGCCGAGGTCTAGCAAAGTTATTCGACTATGTGCTACCTCAGCCGTTTTTGACCCCTTGGGGAAACACTTGGGATTGGAAGAGAAAAGAGGAGGAGGAGGAGAGGGAGGAAAAGGACGAGGAGGATGAGGAGGAGGACAAGGAGAAAGAATCCGAGAAGTCCTTTGAGGCCCTCTTGCTGTCTCCTGGGGGCTTCCTGGTAGCCTCTTGTGGGCATCCGATGGGCCTTGGGGCATTCCTCGAGGAGGAGGAGAGGAGGAGGCATGACCAGTACCGTGCTTTTGTCTCGCGTTCTAGGCCTTTCTGGTTTTGTGACTTCGTTCCACTGTGTCCGAGGAGGACGAGGAGGGAAGAGGAATAGGAGGAGGAGGAGGATGAGGATATGGAGGAGGAGGAGGAGGTGGAGGAGGAGGAGGAGGAAGAGGAGGAGGAGGAGGAGGAGCAGGAACAGGAGGAGGAGGAGGAGGAGCAAATGCAGGAGGAGCATGAGGAGGAGGGAGAAGGAGGAGGAGGAGGAGCAGGAGGGGGAGAAGGAGGAGGAGGAGCAGGAGGAGGCTGAGGTGGTATGAGTAAATGGGCGGGACCTCCGCCCGATCTCTGCTCCGCCCTTTCTCTCCTTCCGCTTCGTGGGATGAGGCAGGCCGACCGGCGGCTGATGCTGCAACTGCTGGTGATGATGTTGCTGATGATGATGATGATGATGATGATGATGGTGATGCTGATCATGTTGATGCAGATGATGTTAATGCTGATGCTGATGCTGCTGTTGATGATGATGATGAAGATGAATATGATGATGATGATGATGATGAGGATGAGGATGAGGATGAGGATCAGGATGAGGATGAGGATGATGATGCTGCTGCTGTTAATGATGATGATGACGACGATGATGATGATGATGATGCTGATGATGATGATGGTGATGATGATGATGATGATGATGTCGATGATGCTGATGACGATGATGCTGATGACGATGATGATGATGATGATGATGATGATGATGATGATGATGATGATTATGATGATGATGATGATGATGATGATGATGATGATGATGATGATGATGCTGCTGCTGCTGCTGCTTCTGCTGATGATGATGATGATGATGATGATGATGATGATGGTGGTGGTGGTGGTGGTGATGATGATGATGATGATGATGATGATGATGATGATGATGCTGCTGCTGATGATGATGATGATGATGATGATGATGATGATGATGATGATGATGATGATGATGATGATGATGAGCGCCCACCGGCGCCCCTCCGCCCGCCCGCGCCCCGGTAGGACCCTGGCGGTCTTGCTCTTCGCCTTCCTGAGGCGCGCGCTCTGCCCGCCGCCGCCCTCGCCTCTTTGCGCCGCCCTTGGCGCCAGTCGTCGTCGTCGTCGTCGTCGTCGTCGTCGTCGTCGTCGTCGTCGTCGTCGTCGTCGTCGTCGTCGTCGTCGTCGTGGTCGTCGTCGTCGTCGTCGCCGTCGTCGTCGTCGTCGTCGTCGTCGTCGACGTCGACGTCGTCGTCGTCGTCGTCGCCGCCGTCGTCCTCGCCCTCGCCCTCGCCCTCGCCCTCGCCTCCCTCGGAGGTTCGAAGGTTCGAGGTTTCCGGATGTTTCCGTCGGCTCTCGGCGGCTTTCCAGCCTCGGGATGCCTCCCGGCGGCTGCGCCTCGCTGAGAGCGCTCTGGCGGTGCCCAGATCGCCAAGAACGGCCGCCGCAGAACCGACTCCCTGCCTCCTCCCGAGCAAGGGCAGGAGGAGGTCAGGCGGCGCGGCGTGGAGGAGTGGAGGAGGGAAGGAGGTCGCGCGCGCGCTGCCCTCTTGCTGTCCCTCAGCTGCTGCTCCCTTGTTTCCCTGTTTCTGTCTGATGTTGCCTGCATCTCTCGCTTCCCTTCCTCCCGGGTCTCCCCTCGATGATCCTTCATCTTGCTCCGACTTTACCCCCTTCCTCCCTCGGGCCCCCCCCCCGTCCTCCTCCCCCCTGTCCGCCGCAGGGCCGCCGAGGGCTGCCGCCAGCGATGTCGTCCTCGTCGCCGTCGCTCTCGTCCTCGTCCTCGTCCTCGTCGTCGTCGTCGTCGTCGTCGCCGGCGGCCCCGCGGCGACGGCGAGCACGACGCGCCCCGCGCCCGCGCCCGACGCTTCTCGCCCTCGTGCCCTTGGGCCCCGTGCTGCCCTGCTGGTGCACTGCGTGGCGCCTGCCCGTGCCAGGAGCGGTTCCAACTTGGAGCCGGTTGGGGGGCTGAGGTGGCCCATCGGTCGGGTGTTGCTAGAAGTACCCCTGGCCCAAGGTACCCCCAGGATTCTCGGGGTGCCCCAGACGGCCTCACGAGACCCAGAGGGCCCCAGGGGCTCAAAAGTGGAGCGAAAAGCTGGGGGCACCTTGAGCCAGGGGCACTTCTAGCAACACCCGAATCGGGGCGCACGGGGCGGGGGCCAATGCGCTGTTTTAATAATTTTTGAAGTTTGTTTCGACTATTTGATATCTTTCGTCCAAGATCCGCCTGTAGGAGGACATGCCCGACCGAAGGTTATATAGTCACATCGCCGGATCTTGCAGGATCCTGCAGAGCCAGGGTTGCACTGACCCGGGCATGGGTGCAGGATCCTGCAGGATCTTGACTGAAACGGGTCTGGATTGACCCTGTCAGAAGATCGCCGAGCCCAGCACACGCTCCGGCCAGCAGAGAGGGGGAGAAACTGGGGCCCCCTCGTCGCCACGGCTGGACGCGGCTCGAAAAACATGTCAGCATCGACACCGGGAGCTGGTTTTGAGCGCATTTGCCCTCACCCCCCACCTCCTGGCCTGGCCGACTTTCTTTGGCTTTCTCCAGCTCGACCCCCCGGCCGCCTCCAAGTTCCAACTCTCTTCCTCTCGCGTCTTTCCCTCCTTGCTTTTCTCGTCGGCCTCTCGGCCAGCCCTGGGATTGTGGAGACCCATTCCCTTTAGCTGGGGAGTTGGCAATTCTTCCGAGCTGAATTTCGTTCAGCCCTTGCATGGTGGAGACCCATTCCCTTTAGCTGGGGAGCTGGCAATTCGTCCGAGCTGAGTTTCGTTGCATTTCGTCCCCCTCTGCCTCGCCCCCTGCCTCCTCAAAAATTACCCGAGAGAAGCCCCCCAATAAATAGCACCCCAGGCTGGAGAGTCGGGCCGAGTACGAGGTCGGTCGGTGAGACCGTGCCGGGACAGGGGCGAGAGCACGGCCATGCCCACCTACGTTTCAGTCGGGCGTGTCCCCCTACAGGGGGATCTTCGACGAAAAAAGAACATATTTGAAACATATTCCAAAATGGTCAAACAATGATCAAAAAATAGTCCCCATATAATTTTTGGATAATTTTTTGATTTTTTGGGGGGCATTTTCTGTTTTTCGTCGAAAATCCCCCTGTAGGGGGAACATGTAGCCCGCGTTGAGGCGTGTGAGGAGGTCTCGGGAGAAACCGCTGCCAGACCAGACGATCTACGTTCTCTCTGGTGGAAGAGTTTTGCCCCGATCAGGGTTGGCGGGAGGGGGTTAGCCGGGAGGGCTGGCTGCGTTCTGGGGGGTTGGCCGGGGGGGGCTGGCCAGGCTTCTCGTTGCAGGGGATTTCTGCACCGCCGCGACGCGTGCACGAAGCTTTTCCAATGGAGCAGAGAGTGCCGAGTCTCTGCCTGGATATTACTCCTCCTCGAAGCCCTGGGCACCGTCGTTTCCCTCCTCGTCCGCCTCTGGCGGCTTCCTGTTTTCTCAGCCTCGTCCTCTCTCCGATCTCCTCTCCTCCCTCGCTCTCTTGCGCGTCCGAGGGGATAATTCGGAGGTTGATAGACCTCCTACCCTGACACGTCGATTAGTGAATTGGCCGTTTTCGGTTCGCCAGAGGCGTCGCGGCCGTTGTTTTTGCGGGTCCAGGTCCGTCGCTTTCGGTCCTAGGCCGTTTTCACTCAAGGGAGGTTTGCTAAAGGGAGGTTTGTCCACCGCCGAATAATCCGGGGGCCTGGGCCTGGCAGTTCCTCGGGCCCGCGCGGTGCGCGGGGGTTCTGGCGACGACGCCCTGTGCGAGGTCAGCGAGCGCGATGCACAGGGCTCGCACAAGTGTTGAAGGCGTGTTCAAACATGGTGAAGGAATCGCCAGGGGATGATTTTTCGACTATGTTTTTTTCTGCGCGGGTGAACAATACAGTCCCTGTGATGAGGCATTCCACAACGACCACCTCCGCAATGAAGCGCTCCATGACGGAGCGTTCCACGAAGACGACCACCGCAAGGAAACACCCGACGTTGGAGCACTCCACAAAGACAGCCGCCGCAATGAAGCGCACCACGATGACCACATCCACGATGAAGAACACGTAGAAGAGCAGTCCTCAACGAAGCGCCCCTCGAAGACGCAGCAGCCCAACATGCACGCAACGAAGAAACACTGCACTAGTGAGCATAACAAGTCCAGGCAGAGGGCACTCGTCATGGGCATGGTTGTAACCCACCTGCCAAACAATAGCATGTCGTGGACAAACGCTGGAAGGACAACAGCGCTCGATTTTGCGCTCTCCGCACACCATTCCATGTCTCATGTTAATGTGTGGAAACTGACTAGGTGTGTGGAGCAAAGAGACCACGAAGTAGCCATGCAACGCTGTCGACATGGTGCCACTACGAAAGGCACCATGATGAACGAACATGGGTGTGACCTTCCGCAAAGGTGCACCAGATCGCCGTTCTTAGCTCGTAGCAGCAGGCGGTACTGCCCAGGCCCAGGGGTGATCAGGGGCCCGCTCCCCTTGCAATCGATCAGAAACGTTCTTTTATTTTGTGATGCAACTCGGCACCAAGACCAGACACCTATGTCCATATGCCCCCCGCCGAGTGTGGGCTTGCAGAGGAGAAGGTCGCCCCGAGCGAGGACGATGGGAAAAACTGTAATGTGCAACGATACTTCGCGGAGATGGATTCTCCATCCAATATCATGATGTTGCGTCCGACCCGACGTCGACGTTCGACATTGGTTTCCTGGAGGGACGAGAAGAGAAACTTGCTCAGAGGCGCAAATGAACCACTTGACCGGTTTTGCAATTCGCGCCGGGCAGTGGTTCAGGAATTTTGTGATTATTGTCACCACCCACCAAACCACCCCAACCCAACCCGAAGGCTCAGATGTACCCTCGATTTCTAGTGGGGGGGGTCCGGGAACGTCACGGGAACATTGGTTTCCTGGAGGGACGAGAAGAGAAACTTGCTCAGAGGCGCAAATGAACCACTTGACCGGTTTTGCAATTCGCGCCGGGCAGTGGTTCAGGAATTTTGTGATTATTGTCACCACCCACCAAACCACCCCAACCCAACCCGAAGGCTCAGATGTACCCTCGATTTCTAGTGGGGGGGGGGGGTCCGGGAACGTCGGGAAAACACGTATGGAACCCTTACCCCCCCCAACCCGAAATTCGGGCCTTCGGGCTGGGGTGGTCTGGTAGGTAGTCATATTGGTGGCGTGCGCCAGCGCACGCACAGCATCAGCATGCTGCAAGACCTGGGCTCTGGCGGCGACGACGTCGACGTCGACGTCGACGTCGACGTCGACGTCGTCGCCGCCGTCGTCGTCGTCCTCGCCCTCGCCCTCGCCCTCGCCCTCGCCTCCCTCGGAGGTTCGAATTTTGTGATTATTGGTGGCGTGCGCCAGCGCACGCACAGCATCAGCATGCTGCAAGACCTGGGGCTCTGGCGGAGAGAGCCGACCACGCTGGCGTGCAGCACAAGTATGGACCATGCAGCGCCCTCCTCCTCCTCCTCCTCCTCCTCCTCCTCCTCCTCCTCCTCCTCCCCCTCCTCCCCCTCCTCCTCCTCCTCCTCCTCCTCCTCCTCCTCCTCCTCCTCCTCCTCCTCCTCCTCCGCTGCACCCTGCCGCGTGCCGCAGCACCTGCGAGTGAGACAGGAGCGACCTCTCCCACGCAGTGCATCAGAGCCCCGAATCATCAGGGGCAACTCGGGTCAGGGCTAACTCGGGTTCGTGTTTCGGGATTCCGAACCCGAGTTATCCCGGACCCGAGTTACCCCGGATAATTCGGGCGCCCAGAGCCCCGAATCATCAGGGGTAACTCGGGTCAGGGATAACTCGGGTTCTTTTTCGGGAATCCAAACCCGAGTTACCCCGGACCCGAGTTACCCCGGATAATTCGGGCGCCCAGAGCCCCGAATCATCAGGGGTAACTCGGGTCAGGGATAACTCGGGTTCGCTTTTTCGGGAACCCGAACCCGAGTTACCCCGGACCCGAGTTACCCCGGATAACTCGGGCGCCCAAGTGCAGGCCCGGACGAGTGGACGTAAATGATAGGTGATGGTTATGATGATGACGGTGATGATGATGGTGATGATGACGATCACGATGGCGATAACGACGATGACGACGCGGACGATGAGGTCGGCGGTTAGGATGGGCCGTCGGATGAAGGCGGGGGCGTTCGCAAGAGTCGGCGAAGGCGGGGCGACGCGGACGAGAGTCCTTCTTAACATTCTAAGGCGCCGCGCGGCCCTAGCGAAGGAGGGCGGCCGCGGGAGCTCGAGTGGGGCGGTGGACCCCCCGCCGTGGTTTTCGTAACATAAAACAATCCCCCCGTTTGGTGAAGCATGTGGGTTGCGCTCGGGGCTCGAGTGCACAGGAGCGATTTCCGTAACGGCTTCCAGTGGCGTCCTATGGTTTCCCATGAAGCTCATTGTTCGGCTCCCGAAGTGATTCGACGGTGACCAGCGTGAGGCGCCCATACGGAACATCGCGAAACTTGGAGGATTTTTCCGGGCGGTTGGCCAAGGTCCGTACGCATGTGGCGTTCGTGCCAGCGAGCGCGAAACCCTGAGTTATCAGGCCCAGGGTCGTGTGTGTGGGCGGCTGGCCCGTTCAATTTGCAATTTGCATAGGGCGCCTTTGCAGACGGCCTCGACGCTGGGTCCCAAACGCTCGCCAGGGGTCGGCCCATTCTGGCGGCCATGTGCGTAGAGGGCCTATGCAAATTGGCGCGAAGCCCCGAGGCGTTCAGCCGGGGGTCCTTCGGATGCATTTACATCGGCGCCTCAGGCAAATGGGCGCGAACCCCCGGTGCGTTCGGCCCGGGGTCGTCGGGGGGGGCTGGCCCGTCCAACTGATGATTTGCATACAGCGCCTATGCAAATGGTCCCGAAATGGAGTCCCGCGACCTCACCGGAGATGGGCGTCTTCTGGCGACCGCTTGCATAGGGCGCGTGTGCAAACGGCCTCCAGACCCCACTGTCGCTCAAGCGCATGATTTTGGACCCGGCTGGGGGGGATCGGGGGTGGGAATCATTTCATATGCAGGACATTCTATCCGAGCGTGCTGGCTCGCTTATGGCGCGCGTCGCTTGGCCCAGATGTTTGCCAACAAGTTCAGTCCATGCGTGCCTTCTCGCGCACGATGGTCATCGCGCTGCCAGCTCTGACGCCAGGAAGCTCAGTCCGAGCGTGCCCGCTCGCTTCCAGCATTCCTTAGCTTGCTGAGAAGGGTTAGCGGGGTTGGCTTGGGTTGGCGACGGTAATTCTTACAGAAACAAGTGTTTCCATGAGATCTAGGTACGGGGGCTTTCCTGGGCTTCCCTTTCCTTTTACACATTTACAATATATATACACATAATAAACACACTAGAACCTTCCCACGAAACGCTATTGGGGCAGAAACGGCACGCGCTCGTGAGTGCAACGGCCGCTTCTCTGGCCCATGCGAGGGGCCGGAGGTCCAGATCAGCGGGCGAAACACGGTCATCATAGCACACACTTGTCCGCCGTCGGGGACGCTTGTCTTCTGGGCGGCTGGAAAGTTTTTACCCGGCCGTGCCACCTGAAGGGTATACATTTTGGACCGCCCTGGGGGCAGGCGTCCACAGCGGTTGAATCATTTATTTTTAGACCGTTGTTCAGCGTCTGCTAGCCAGAGTCTGCAGCGCGTCGCCATCGCAGCACTGGTTGAGACTAGGGATGCCCCGAAGCAGGGGCAGAAGGAACTGCCCACGGCAGGCCCGCGCCGCGCCGACGCGGCGGCGAGCCCCTCGCGAGCCCTCGTGGCGGAACGCCGCCAGTGGCCCCAGAGTCGGCGCCATATCTCGAGTAGGGGATCGACCGCAGCATTGACGGACCTCGACATTGATGTGGAGGTGAAGCAATGATGTAGCCGGTCCCCCACACCCGGATATCGGAATGGTAGGACGGGCGGCGCACAGACAGCCCCCCCAGGTAGTCCCGGCCTCAACCGGCCCCACGAGTAGTCCACGCTGGCCTCATCAGGCCCCCAGGATAGCCCGGGGCGGTCTCAACACTCCAGCCCGGAGGCGCAGAGCGCCCCAGGGGCGCCGCCGGAGGAGACGCGAGGGTGTTGCGGCCTTCCCGGGCTACTCGGGGGGCTTGCTGAGGCCGGCTGGGACTACCTCGGGGGGCCCGTTGAGGCCAGCCGAGACCACCTGCGGGGGGGCTGTCTGCGGGCAACTTGCGAGATCGAAAAAGCGCGATCGCTCAACAGGCCGAGCGGCGCTCGCGCAGGTCGCCGCGGCGCGCGCCTGCCGCACTGGTGCATCCGTCCTGCCCGCGCCCTCGACGACTGCTCCGGGCCGCTTCGGGCGGAGGGGCCTCGGGCCGACGGAGAGGCGGCCGTCGATTCATCGGTGGTGGCGGCGCTGACGAGCGGCGGTGGCAGCCCTCCGAGCCCCAGCGGAGCGCCTCCGCCGCCTAGCGCTTCGCGCTGGGGGGCGAGGCCCTGCTCGCCGTCCAGTCCTCCCCCCTGGTCCACCCCTGTCCTGGATGCTCCTGGGCCTCGTCGGTCCTCCTCGGGTCTTTGAGGTCCTCGACCCGTCTCAGTTCTCGATGCCTCTCCGTCCCCCGCGGTCCTGCTCGACCCTGCTCGGTCCACCTCGGTCCTGTTCGGTCCTGACTCCCCCTCAGTTCCTCCTCCAGCTCGGTCCTCGATCCTCCTCGGCCTGGACTTCCTCGATCCATCGGCGACGAGGGCGACGGCGATGCCGGCGCCCCTGCGGCGGCGGCGGCGGCGACGGGTCGCCCGCTCCCCGAGTGGCCGCCGAGGGTCCGCCGAGGGGCCGCCGAGGCGCGGTCGAGGCGCCGCCGAGGTGCCGCCGAGGGCGACGGCGAGCGGCGCCCGCGCCCGCGCCGCCAGCCTGGACGTGCCCAGCGCCGCTGCGCGGGCCTGCCTGGCCGTGGTGTGCGCGCTGGCGGAGGCCTTCGGAGGCCGCCGCGCGTGCCATGCGCGGCCAACGGCCGCGGGCCGGCGCTGCCAACGACGCGCCGTCGCCGTCGCCGACGCGACAGCGACGTCGCCGACACCGCCGACGCCGTCGCCGACGACGACGACGTTGCCGGCGCCGACGACGACGATGCCTCCGACGGCGACGACGCCGACGGCGGCGCCCGCCACCGACGACGACGTTGCTGGCGCCGACGACGACGATGCCTCTGACGGTGACGCCGACAGCGACGACGACGGCGGCGGCGGCGACGACGACGAACACATCCGAATACTTCGAACCCGTCGAATCCCTCGATCCTCCGAGGGAGGCGAGGGCCAGGGCCAAGGCCAGGGCGACGACGACGACGACGGCAAAGACGAGGACGACAACAACAACACCAACAACAACAACAACGACGACGACGACGACGACGACGACGGCAACAACAACACCACTCACAACAACAACAGCAACAGCAACAACAACAACAAGAACAGCAACAACAGCAACAACGACGACGACGACAGCGAAGCAGACGACGGCGAAGCTGGCGACGGCAGGGTCGTTATCGTCGGCGTCGCCGTCGAAATAGATGGTGGCAGCGGCGACGACTGCAGCGGTGGCATGGTCTTTGTCGTCGTGGTCGTTGCAGTCGTCATCGAGGTCGTGGTCGTCGCCGTCGACTTTGTCGTGGTCGGGGTCGGGGTCGTGCTTATCGTCATGGTCGTCGTCCTCGGCTTCGTCGTCTGCAGCGGCGTCGTGGTCTTCCTCCTCCGTCGTAGCTGCCTTGTCATCGTCGCCAGAGGAGGCGTATAACAAGGGAGGGCGGCAGGAGGAGGAGGGGTAGCAGTAGAGTAGAGAACGAACGCGCCCTCGTTTTTCGAACCCTCCTTCCCCTTCATCATCCTCATCCGCCTGCTTCTCTTCGCCCTCTTTCTTTCTCACTGTCCTCCTCATCCCTCTCCTCTCCTTCCCCTCCCATCCCCATAATTTCTATTAGATAGGCGTGTTGATGATTGATCTCCTCCTTCCACGGCATCATTCCTCCTCGTCCGGCATCATACCCTTTCCGTCTCAGTCATCGTCGTGATTCCCTGCTTCCCTGCATCCTCGTTGTCACCGTCGCTCCGCGTCTTCTCGTCCTCCTCGTCCTCCTCCTAGTCGTTCCCCTCCTCCTCCTTCCCGCGTCCTTCTCCCCTCCTTGCCTTCTTCCTCCTCCGCCGTTGTTTCCCTCGTCCTCCTCATCCTCCTCCTGCTCCCTCGTTCCCGCCGTCCTCGCCGCCTCCTCGCCCCATCCCATCCGCTTTCCCTCTCCCTCCTCCCCCTTCCGTTTCTTCCTGCCCCTTGGGCGTGCGGGTGGCCCTGCCGTTCGGCCTACCCCTTCGTGGGGACGGTTCCGTTCGGTTGGGGCCTCCCGCCTTCCCGTGGGGCGGGGCCTTCTCCCCGTCGCGCGCGGGCGG